AAAAAAAAAAAAAAAAAAAAAAAAAAACCGTCAAGGAATGTTCTTTTATTGTCCTTTCTCCTCCATAAAGTCTTGTTCTTTCATTCCCAGTAACCCCCTTGAATCTTTGTGGCACTATAACCTTGCTTGGACTGGAATAATTGTGAGAAAAAAAATAAAGAGAAAAAAAAAAAAGATCTATTGTCCTATGTAAAAATTTTGTTTTGATTTTAAATACACTTTTTTTTTTGCTTTTTGCTTGTATTTATTTTCTGCATATAAAACTTCTATAAAAAGTTTTAGAAGCTAATATTTTGAAAAAAAAAAAAAACGGAAATGAAATCTACTTATTCATTTTGAAGTTTAATGACAATAATGATTTCAGACAAATGACACCTCAACTCAGTTGTATTTTCATAGAATGATACCATAAGGACAAATTTACTCTTTTCTTTAGTCTTCAGTTCCAGTAAAATGTGAATGCATTCTTACACTCTTGCTTGAGGAAATACTAATATATACACTCCACTATCAACTGTATTACTATACAACTGAGAATCAATTTGTAATCCTGCAAACGTATTCAGTGGTGTTTTGATTTGACCTGTAGGATTATCCCATCTTGTCTGCCAGGGATCGCTGCTTAACACACGCTAGGTGGCATGGTAATCAGCGGTATGAAAGGAAGTGACAAACTTTCTTTTTGATCTCTCACCCAGAGGATGGAGTGGTGACAACATGTGACTTGTCTTTGTTCGGGGAGATTTCTTTCCTTGGGAAAACCAACTTAATTTCACAGAGGCATGTAGCACATCCTCATTCTCTCTTTCTCACTCATATATATATATATATATATATAGTGTAACCCAGATATAAGAGACCCGGATATAAGTGAGATTTTCTCTGGTCCCAAATTAGAGCCTGTGTTAATGTATATAAATTAGACCAAACCCGGATATAAGAGAAACACTGATATAAGAGACTTCTTCTCCGGTCCCGACAACTCTTATATCCGGGTTAAACTATATATATATATATATATATATATATATATATATATACACACACACACACTACAGCTAGGCATATTCACACATACAAATCTCAGAAAAACAAGAAATGTATATTTTTTTTCTGTTCTTGAATTATATATTTTATCATTTAAACATTATTTTGAGTAAATTCTCAGTTTATCTATTAAATGATACATTTATTTATTTCCATTTACCAGCCTGAATATTTGAAAAATCTCATTAAAGAAAATATGCACTCTCTGGTAGGATTCAAACCTGCTTTCCCCATGGCGGGAGAAAATGACATTAAAACTGATGTTACTATACTGACTCAGACATGAAGGATATTTGCTGATCAAGCTAGGCTGAATTGTGCCTTTAACATTATCACACTACATTTGTTGTGCAAAAACTTTATCCTGCCACTGAAAGTGCCTCTGATCCATGAGAATGAATTTCATAGTTATGTTATCATATCCTGCTATGGCAACAGAAAACATCTTTGAGGAAATTAGCAATAAAGATACTACAATTGAGAGGCCTTGAAAAAGAATGCCATGAAAAGGGAAGTACTATTGATAATGCATAGTGCTAGAAGTTAAGCAAAACCTTTCTCATCATAGATTCTCAAAATTTCACTTGCTCAGTTTAACCATTTAATAAAAAAATGGAGGATCTACTCAAATATGAGTATCCACTAAAAATAATGTTTAAGTGATAAAATCTCTCGGATTAATAAATAAAAAGTCGATTACTTAATACATACATACATATATATATATACACACACACATATATGTGTGTGTATTTGGGAAGTAACCTTTCTTTTAAATATGATAGACAAGGAAATTTTTTTTTTTTTTTAATTTAGTTTTTTCAGCATTCTTACATTTTTCCGTTTGGTGTAAGTGAGTGCAAAAATTGTCCATTGTCCCAATTATATATGTATATATAATCTCATTCACATATTGATTTCATTTATTTTGAAACTTTTCAACTGAATGTCTTTACTATTAGTAACACCATGGTGCTACAAGCTCAAACAGTTTATTATGTACTATAAATTTTTATCAACTGTGAACAACTTGCTACTGACTTTCTAAAAAAGAAAAAAAGACTCTTCACATTCTACTTTGAAGGATGAAGTTGATACAGATTCCCATTCATGGAACATGTTATGTCAGGTTACTGTATGAGTGCTACTGGTATTATGTAATTCAATACTACCTGCTACATGGTCTTGTCATTAGTGACTAAATACTATCAGGTATTTCTGGTGAGGGACATGACTAGAATTAAAAACAAAACCTGTCAAAGAGTGGATGAGACTTGTTACAGGGTCAATGCACATTGAGCACAATGAGGTAAACTGGGATGCATAGCAGTGTATGATCCAGTGTGGGGACAACATGTCATTGCTAGGCAGAGGGCTTCCTAGATGAATATCTATGGCCAGAGTAGACTGTTCTCCACCTGCAATGGCATCAACAGCCACATGTCTATGGCCAAGTGAGCTTTCAATTTAGAGGACATTGGGTTTGGTTTGACTTGAAGAGGAATGGACTCCACCAGGTCTACTTGTCAAAGACATGCTGTACATGAATGAATACCTCTGTGAATATATGTGGAGGGAAATGGTCAAGTACTCAGTTGTGCAGTGAGCCTTCAGCCACACCCTGTGATGATGATAAAATTGGTTTTGTTCATATTTATTTTTCTTTCCTTCTTTATAGTTTTTATTGTCTCAATAAATATGCCATTTTTTCCATTCTATCTCTTTTTATTTATTAATTTTTTTAAATTCCTTCCCTTCACTCACCCTTTTCTTTAATGTATGACTTAATAAAATCAAACACTTACCTTGTTCTCCTGGGATCGACAGAACATATGAATTAATTATCTGAAAAACCATAAAAAGAAGTCTTTGTTTATTGTTTGCATCCAGGGAATTTCTACTTGGCAAGTTTCATTGTCTTCCAATCAATTTAATAAATTAATTCAAACCTCTCACTGACTGAGTGAAAATATTTAAATGGTTAAGCAGTTCTTGAAATAGAAACAATTACCACATACAGTGTTTCAATGATAAACTTTGTTTTGAACATTTCATTTTATCTTGTGATAAAACTTGTATATGCATGCTGATTATTGATGAAAAGTTCTTGTAATGTGTGTACCAACTTTGAAATTAAAAAGATAAAAAAAGATACAAGCACTTCAGAAGTCAGGATCTCTTGCAAATGTTGACAATGTAACTCAGATAATAGCAATTGCATATAATAATTACTGTTATGGGACCTTACCCATAATAACATAATGGACTATTCCATACATAATAAATACTGCGCCTCAAGAGGAAGCAGAGAGTTCCGTCTGAAGTCTAGAGTTCAGTCTGGAGTGAGGTCCGTCAGAAGTCTGTCAGAAGTCCGTCAGTCAGCCAAAGCGAGCGAGTCAGTCAGTCGAGTCAGAGGCAGTCCGAAACAGAGTTGCATTCAGACAATTACTACTAAACCTGATTGTTCGTACTAACACTTTCTACTTCTCTGTATATATTCCTGTTTGTAATATATTTGTGTTATTCCATATCTGCCTTCGAGTTCTTCTTCATTGGTTCTACCTTGGACTATCACCGTGGCACAAGGAACCGCACCATAACAATTACATATATATGATGTCTACACAATAAAAGCAAAAAAGAATTTATGATACATACATAAACACAAATGCCATAAAATATGCATGCAATGTCCACACTACAATCTTAATCGGTTCAAGTTCCAGGTTGACTATTATCTTCCCCACATAAACTGTACCTCTTACTTTGTAACTCTCTACTTTGAGTGGTCCCAGGCCCCTGTACTGGACAAACATCAATGTAAAAAACAAAAATTTAATAATTGAAATATGATGCCACATTATTTCACTTCCAAATATTTCAGGCGAAAATAAAAAACAAAAATATGTTAAATGTATAAAGAATTTCCTACTGTTTCAAGATTTTATATATCTGTTAATAGTTATACCTTTTGATTCTCAATGCTTTAAGAATATTCTAGTTGATTTATATACATTTCAATTTACAACGTCTGTTGTGCTGTGGAAGAACAAACTCATGTGCATGAAGAACTCGGATTCACTTGCAAGACTGGAGTCACCTTGTGAAAAAGCACCAGTTGATTTATGTCTAAGCATGGGCAACTTGCAATATCCACACATGTGATGTTAATTGACTAATGAAAATCAATGGTAGCAAATTCCAATTTTTAAATTGCAAAACAAAAGACAAAAAGACAAAATTTCTTTTCCACCTAAGGTTCTATGGGTATCAGGCCTTACAAATTTAACAGTGCACACAACTACCAACACTCAGAACAATTTAAGGAACATAGTCTTAAACTAATAACAAGCATAGAATGAACTTAAATAAAAAAAAAAAACTTTCACTAGTAACTTCTATGAACATTTCTACAGACATAAAAACTACTATATACTATTTTTTTTGTTGAGACATTATCTGCTTTTATTGAATAAATTCTGTTAAATCCTGTCTCATTCTTTTTGTGTTTTGTTTTGGTGAAGAACTAAACTCACCTTATTCATTTCACTATCTCTTTCTGTCAGTCGTTGTCCATATAATTTCAGCTCTTACTAACTCATCATCCTTCCCTCAACAAAGCTAAATCTAACACAGCAGCAGTCATTTTCTCTCCTTATTCTTAGAGTAGCAACCAGCACTGCCAGCTTCCTCATAAAATTAGTGGCTACCTATTGACCAACCTCTTACCACAACAAGTCAGACATCTAAAACTAGGCCTAAAACATGATATCTGGATTTCTAAGCTGTGAATGCATTTGTGAGTGTTGGTGCATTAGTCTTATCAATTGTGGAAATTAGGCTCAGTTTTTGTAAGTGAAATATCAAATAGAAGTCACAACTGGAATTGGAACTTGGCTCTATGATTAACAACTTCAAGCCATTATTGCATTACACCACCCACACATCCAACCTTACAGCACTTGGTATTCTCAAGCTTTCACCCATGAAGGTACTGAAGAGGCTTGCTGTTGCTTAACTTCAGTGATCATATGAGAACTGGTGTTTCAACATGACATGGCCTTAAGCCAATATATTTCTATTTTAAAATGCTGGCCTTATGAATCATCTCTATAATATACTTATTTAGAATGCGTTTCTATAATAAAAGCTATTAGCAACGCATTTACATTAGCACATTGGCTCCCACATGATCCACTGAAGTGTCGTGGTGGTAGGTCTGCAAGGCCCACACCACCCTCTGGATTCTATGATTGATTACTCCAAAACAAATTTAAATATTTTTCATTTTTTGTCTTATTTTGTTTTCCATTTGGAATTTCTATTGTTGATTTTTTTTTTTGGTGTGGAGGTCATTTTTTTTTCAATTTATACATACACAGAGCTGTAACATGCATTCATATGGAACGTTGGCCTAAGATACTGAATGACCCACCAGTGGGTTGTGAGTAATAGATACTACTTATTATATATTTATCCTTGCCTTATATATAAAACAAAGTTGCTTGTACCATAATTAATTAAGATATAGTGTTGGGACATTGAACAATAAGGAAAATGAGGTTTAGGATTCCAACAAATCAAATTGCCAGCATGCGAGGAAATAATTTTCTTGTGCACAAGCTTCGGAGCTGATAGTGTGATACACAGCCTTATATAAACAAAACACGAATAAGCTCTAGTGTTTTTCTTCATTCATCTTTCTCCTTGCTGCCAAGATGTAATCTTCAAGAGCTCCCATCTTAACCACGTGGTCAGACATTAAGGAGCATTGCCAACAACTCTTACAGACTTTCTTGCAAGTCGTCAGTAAAGTCCAGCTATTACGCCTGTCTACACAAATCCACGACTTTACTCACAACGCACACAGAGATACAGATTTTTGTATTGCATTACACATTCTTCCTCTCTGTGACTATGCCAAGTTCATGAACCAGAACTCTTTCTTACTTACTCAAAACAACACACTTCTTAACTGTATTCTATTCTAACACCAGACTCTATTCAACATAGAATCCTGAACATTCTTACTCAAGAGAAACTCTTTTGGACATTAAATCTTAATCGGAATACAGTGGAAGGAAAGCAACTTTTTCTCCCTTAATTATGACACACCATTGAATGATTGTTTTGTACATTATTGTTTCAATATATATTTTATTGTTGATGCACAATTGGAGCCTTGTTGTTTTTTTCTTGAATCATTAAATGTATAATAGAGAAATGCTCTTAGAACACGCAATTACATTTGATAACCTCAATGCATAAACCCAAGGAGCATTTACACATTGGACTAGCAGAAGTAGCATTTCATAAGATAAGCAAGATGCTGAGAAAAAATTTTGTAAGAAACAAAGAAAAGATTGCTGGATTGCTATGTGATAGCCATTCTCTCATATGGTAGTGAATGCTGGATAATCTCACTATGAATGAGGAGAAAACTGGAGGAAGCAGAGATGAAGTGTTATAGAAGGATGTTGAAAATTCTATGGCCAGAACTAGTAAGCAACAAGGAAGTCTTAAAGAAAATGGCAACAGAAAGAACACTTCTACCAAGAATCAGGAAAAGAAAAAAAATTCCTTGGACACATAAGGAAGAAGGAGTGCTTGGAAAAGTTAATTCTCATGGGCCAGACTCAAGACAAAAGTGATAGGGGAAGCTAGTGAGCCATTTACCTGACAAGCTTGTATGAATGGATGGTAGAATAAGGGGTGGGAGCTTTAGTAAAGGGAGAAGAACTGCTAAGAGCCACATAAGTTGTGGAGAGCCAAAATCAAATATGTGCAACATAAAAATAGTAAATATGAGAGTAGAAATATGTTTCTACAGAAGGATACTGAAAATTCCATAGACAGTGTGAGTAAGCAACAGGAAAGTCTTAAAGAAATTGGCACCAGAAAGAACACTTGCACCCAGAATCAGCTGAAATTCTTTTGACACATAATAAGGGAGGAAGTCTTGGAAAAGTTAACCCTCATGGAGCATATGAAGGGAAAGAGAGAGAGAGAGAGGAAAGCAGTGAGCCACTAACCTAATGAGTTTGCGTGAATGGATTGTGGAATGGGGCAGGAACCTTAGCCAAGGAAAAAAATACTGAAAGGCCACAAGGGATAGTAAATTGTAGAGTGCCAATAATTGTCTATGTCCTGAAGAGCCACATAGAGGAAAATTTCATTCATTATATTTGTTCGGTTTCAAATGTACAATGAAAATTTGTACAATTTGCTCTTTTCTTGTATAAATGTCTCTTATTTTCCGTCACAGTTGATTATATGTAATCATTGAAGTGAATAAAAGATTTGACCTATCAGCTTAATAAACCATTTATATTAGGGGTTACATAAATTTCTCTTATCTGATTGGTTCCTTCAGAATGTGGGTGGTCATGAACATCCAGAACACCCTTGTTTTTGTAGATGTCTGTTTCTTCCAGTCCCTGATCTGCAATCCATTTACGCAGCACTGTTAGGTAAGTTACTTTTGTAGAGTAAATAAGATACTCTAGTAAAATAAATGAACTAGGCAAGATGCCTTAAATAAAGAACACAATATGAGTCAGTAGAAGTCAGTCACAGTTTGTCTCAGGTTTGTGCCAAGACAAGATAAAACCTCTGTCTTTGAGAAGAGGGTGGTAAGACCTCTGTCTGCAGGCAGAGGATGACTCAGTTGGGCTCTGTTTTTGGATAGAGACACAGCTGAGAAAAACAAACTAGTTCTGTCCCAATCCCACTTTGGTGGGGGCTGGGTAAATTTTGACTGAGTGGAAACACTCAGGTTCCTCACAGTAAACTTGACCTTGTGTCACATCTAGTCTGTGGTGGGGCAACTGGTAAATACCAATCAGTCACAGTCTGTTCCAGGCTCGTGACAAGACTTCTGTCTTCGAGTAGAAGTTGGCTCAGTCTTCGGATAGAGTCAGGCAGCTCGCTGTCTGGCTTTTTAATGACTAGACCTCTGTCTTCAGTCCGAGGGTGACAAGTCATCAGTCTTTGGGTGGAGGATGATTCAATCAGGGCTTTGTCTTCAGATAGAGACTCGACTGAGAAAAAAAAGACCAGTCATGTATCTGAGGCCACTTTGGTGGGGGCTGGATAAATTTTGACCAGTGGTAGAAACATTTGAGTTCCCCACAGTAAACTTGACCTTATGTCGCATCTAGTCCACTGTAAGGTGACCGGTAAATACCAGTCAGACCCAGTCAGCTGTCTTGCTTGCTACTGTTTTTGGGCAGAGTGCGACTCAGTTGAAGTTCTGTCTATGGATGGAGACTTGGCTGTGAAAAATAGATAATGTAAAGTTCCTGATCCCACAGGTGTTGGGGCTGTGTAAATTTTGACCATTGGCCTGAGTGTATGCACACAGATTCCCCACAATTAACTAGACCTTTTGTCACATCTCATCAAAGTGGGGAGACTGGGTAAATATCAGTTCATTGGAGTCAGTGGAGGGAAGTTTCTAATGATATGACAGCAAGTAGTCTAAGCAAGACATAATATTGTAACCTTTTGGAGTGAGTTATAACAGTGGCGACGAGGGATCAAAACTCATACAGAGCATGAAAAAGTACTTTTTGCTTCAGCGCATATGATAACCATGTTGGTTTAACTTTTTTCTTTGGTGTGTGTAAAAAAAGATAAAAGAGAAAAAATATTCTTCAAATATGAAAGAATTATTAGCCCAAGTGGTAAAAAGGCAACAACAAATTTTAATTGAAATAATACGGAAGAAAATGGAAAGTTCTTTCACTCCCAACATAGTGGCAAATGCCATAGGTGAATTCACATACAATTCAGATGGTGGAATTACCTTTTCTACTTATTTTAGAAGATACAAGCAAATAATCAGAGAAGAATGCAGCAACTGGGAAGATGAGGAAAAAAAACAAGACTTTTGTTGAGAAAGTTAGCACCGGTAGAACATGAAAAATATTGTAATTTTGTACCACCGACCCCCCCAAAAAAAAAAAAAAAAAACAAACAAAAATCAGAAATTTGCTTCATAAAAACAGTAAATATTCTGACTAAAGTTATTAAGAAAAAAAAACTTATTCAATACTTGTTGGAAGTGTAAGAATCTGATAAAAAAAAAAAAAAGATGAAGATTTTGTTACATGCTACAATTGTTAACAAGGAGTATGAAAGAATCAAATTAAACGAACTGGATATGTTTAAAGGGTTAATTTTCATTCAAGGGTTAACGGTGAAAAAAGACGTAGAAATATGTGCTAGAATTCTAATGAAACTTGAAGAAAATCAAAAATTAAGACTACAAGAAATCTTGGACAAATGTTAGAGAATGCTAAATCCGAGATGCCATACAGAAGAAATTGAAGAAAAAAAAATGAACATACATACAACCTAAAGAAAAATGTGGAAAAATAAAAATAAATCCATGTTTCAGATGTGAAAGATTACATCTTGGAATCAAATGTTCCTTTAAGAATTCAAAGCACTACAAGTGTGGAAAAATAGGACATAAAAAGTCACACTGTAAAACTAAAGCAAGGAAAAGTTCTCACAGAACAATTTCTTACACAGTATTGTGAAAGAAAAATAATTATAAAAAAAAAAACAAAGAAAATTTGTGTATGTGAAAATAATATGGATGTAAAAATGCAACTAGACATTGGTAGTGATATCACAATAATTAACAAAGCCACATGGAAAGCAAATGGAAAAAACTATTAAGGACTTTAAAAATCAACAGGATTAAACAAATGTTTAGAATCACATAACTATCCATTACCAATTCCAGAGAAAATTTTGCAAATTTAAATGGTGGAAAAATTTTCAGAGCTGGATTTTTCTGAAGTGTATTTGCAAATACAGATTTTAAAAAAAGAAAAAAAAAGTTAACTATAAATACATACAAGAGATTCTTTAAATTCAATTGACTTTCTTTAGGGATAAAGGTGGTGCCAGTTATATTTCAACGAGCTATGGATACTATGCTTGTTGCAGAGTGTGATTTTGCAGTTGCTCGTCTGGATGATGTATTAATTAAAAAAAGTGTATCTAAGGAACAATATATCAGGCATGTAAAAAGAGTTTTTGAAAATACA